AGTGTACATATGAACTCACAGAAACTGTGACAGTATGCCCACAGCCTACACAAATTCAATACAAACAAAAATCCCGGCATGGAGAAGGGGAAGTGGATAAAAATCCCACCACTAACCAAAAGGCTATTTGTAATTGATTCCTGCTGGGAAAGAGAAATATCAGTTTTCTCCCATGGAGTGACACTGTGTATATAAACACACTCCAGGACAGTCCCCAAGCTCAGAAGTAATAAAGCAACACAAAACGGACTCGGTATTTGGGGGGTATGGAAGTTTTGGGGGTGGGTTTATTACTGTTGTTTGGTTGGCTAGTTGGTTTTTTGGTTTTTGGTTTTGTTTTTGTTTTTTTTTTTTTGATTAGCTGTTTTTTTGGAAGAAAAACAACATGAATTTGGGTGGGTAGGGAGAGGAAGAATCTGGGAGGGGCATATGATTAAAATATATTGTATGGAATTTATTAATTAAAAATGAAATAAATAAAAATTCAAAAGCAATAAGAATAGATTATAACCAAACATATTTTTTGAAGAGATAAGCCATTATTTATGCTTCCACTTGGGATGAAGCCTAGAAACACTGAACCCTACACAATTTTCTTTCTGTCTCTGACTGACATCTCAAAGTTGAAACACTTATTCTAAATTCATATGTAAGAAAAAAATATTCTTAAGTCAGCTTTAAACAGACTGAAAATGGTTAGTGAATGGGTATGTGTTTCCCTAATTCAGGGATTAAGTTTTGTCAAGGTCATTTGTAACAAACACAAACTTCCATTTCTCTTATCATCTTGTCAGCAATGAAGATGTCTTCTGCTGTCTTAAAAGTTTTAGTTCTTATTAGTTCAACATTCATAAAGAGAGAAATCAGGACAATTATAAATTACTCCAACTTAATAGTCATTATTTCCATAATCTGAGGCTCCTCAACACTTTTTACTACCTCATCTGCCCGAGTTTTTCTTAACCTTGCTCAAGTCACAATCCTCTCCCTTACCATACACACTCATGCTGTTCATTCCCAACACAGAACCTCACTTAGCCAGGATGCCTTCACTTGTCCCCTAAAACCCTAACCTTCTTGCAAGCCCATTCAAGTCCTGCTTGTGCAGTGAGATTTTTCCAAATGATGCCATTGCAAATACATCTTCTCTTCTCTGAGCACTGAATAAATACTAAAAATACACAAAGACGTCCCTGTTCCCACAAAACAAATGCTAATGCTTTCAGGAGTTCAAGGTTGTTCCGGGATTGCTCTTACTGAGTCTGTCCCCTTATAGTCAGTTCCCTAATAGACACTACACAGTAGTTGCCTACCCCAGGGTATCCTCTCTTCCCTCTCTGTTCTGTATTCTTCTTCCCTACGTTGCAATGTGGATTTCACTATCACAGAATAAAGTTCTCATGACTCTCTGTCCTTATGACATACTACCATTCATAGCAACTAGCATGTTATTTTTGTCATTGAAGTGTCCATGTTACATCTTCCAATAAAAAGTTTACTATTACATTACTCAAAATCATTTTTACTATTTTTCTTAAATCTTCATTTTCATCTTAGTGAATCTGAACAGCTAGCATCTCTTTTTTTTTTAATTTTGAGTATATAGGTGTGTTTCTGAATGTATGTATGTGCTCCACAACATTGAGGGGCCCTGAAAAGGTGAGAATGAAGCATCGGATCCCCTGCAACGGGAGTTACAAGCAGTTGTAAGCCCCCATGTGGGTGCTAAGAACTGAACCTAGGTCCTTGGCAGGAGTAGCAAGTGCCCCAACAGCCAGCATTTCAAAAGTACATATTATATGCCACACTTTTAGCATCCAACCACAGATCCAGAAATTTTTAGTGTTTTAATACATGTCTTGGTTAATTGATGGATGTGTGTACATATACCAGAGTATGGGTGTGGTGTGGTGCTCAGAGGACAACATAACAGAAGTCAATTTTCTCCTTTCCTCCACCTTGTGGGATCTATGTGGGGGAAACTGAACTCAGTCATAGCACTTGGAAGCAACTGTTTTTATCCACTGAGCCATCTTGTGGCTCTTATATATCATGCTTTTAAAGTAAATGTGTTAATTCACCTCACTTTAGATAAAAAAAAATTGTGAACTTCCTCTGATTATTATCAGCTTTTGTGTATGAAGAAATATGAACACAGATAAATGAATTAATTTGTATTTATAGCTTCTGGATAATTATGTAGCACCAGAGCCAAGATTTTTTAAAAGCCAGTTTAACCACAGCACCTGTGCATTTTACCCAGAATCATACATCATTAGCAGCTACAGAGTATAAAATAATATAAACAAAGGAGTTCAAATTCAGTGAGATATTTATAAGAAATCACAAGTGTCACAAGTATATTTATATACCTATTAAAGCAATGCCTCTTCTCTAAGGTTTGAACATTATTTCTGCTCCACTAAGGAAATACAAGTATCTATATCTACCACTTTCATTTGATATACCAATCTGAGACATCACTCAGAGGTAGAAAGAAAATAGTGCAGGGTCCTGTGTTTCCAGGCTGTATCCGACAACAACAGCAATATCTGATAAGATGACTTTTTTAACATGCCCTGCTCCTATTCAACTCTGTCTTTTCTGTATTTAGTTCTCTCTCTCTCTCTCTCTCTCTCTCTCTCTCTCTCTCTCTCTCTCTCTCTCTCTCTCTCTTTCTCTTTCTCTCTGTCTTTCTCTTTCTCTCTTTCTCTCTCTCTTCTACCCCTAACCATTTAGCAATTCATCCTCTTTCCTCACAATGAATGGCTCACCAAGAAGCATGGAAGGCAAGAGGACAAGTCTATAAAGTCACAAATCAGCAGGTGAGCACAGAAGTCTGCATAGACAGGGCTAGAGGAAAGAAGAGTTACCTGATACCTATAGCAGCCAATAGGCTTCATGCTTTTACCTCTAGTCACTTCACCTACCTTCGGGTCAGAAGAGTTGCTGTGCTCCTGCTCTGCCTTGGATTTCAAGTAAATTGTCTCTAATTCACCATAAAATGCTCTGCTCCCATGAATCAGACCATGGCTCAAGGAGAGGTTGTGCTCTGGAAAAAGCTAGACAGGGAAGGAGTATCAGATTCCTCCTTACAGATCCTGTGTTCTTCCATAAATGAAGTCCCTTGACTAATAGTATCACCACCGAGCAGACTGCCCATTGAAGACCCAAACCCAGGTTACACTCACCAAAATCACCCTAGGAGCATGTCCTGAACAATTTAGAGAATAATTATTTAGAATAATATTATTTTAACTTCTGAATGTACAAGAAAAGGGAATAGTCTGAGAGAGGTGAATTGATTTCCCAAAGCCACACTCTATCATTTATCTGGTACTATCACAGAAATCAATGCTCTCTCCAAATCCTTAGGCTTTGGGGATAAAAGGTAGAAACATTACTGTGGTTCAAGGGTTGGATCTGTCTCCTAGATCAAACAGGTGTGGAGTATTTAGAAAACAAGGTTGATGACTAAGACAAATCACAAGGAAAGGAATTTTTGGCCATCCTGCATCAGGATTCATACTTATATTTACAACTTCCAGCATATAAATAACATCCATGAGAATAAAAAATTCAGGTGTAGTAGAATCCTGTTTTGATGTAGCAATCCTATCTATCCAAACAATGACCAAGGTTGTGATTAAATGCTCAAAAACTTGGACTATTCATGATAAACAAATCCACACTTATAATCAAGAGACCAACTTCCCTATGGAATTACTTTTCCCTGTAGGAAAATGTAGCCAAATAAACTATGACTTGGAGAAAGTTTCTAAATCTTCTGCAATCATTTTAATATCATTTCAATATTGTGTTACCCCCAACAAGGCGAAGTACATAAAGAAAAGTAAAGGTGATATAGCTTATTGCCTACAGTTTCTGATTAATATAAATATCAGAATTTCTTTTCTTTTTTATAGTATTTTTAATTTATAATTAACTTAATTTCACATATCTGCCACAGATTCCCCCATCATCCCTCTACCCATCCCCCAGCCCTCCTCCACAATCCACCCCCTACTCCCACCTCCTCCAAAGCAAGGTCTCCCCTGGGGAGTCTACCGAGCCTGACAGACTCAGCCAAGGCAGGTCCAGTCCCCTCCTCCCTACACCAAGGCTGACCAAAGTGTCTCAACATAAGCCCCAGGCTCCAAAAACTCAGCCCATGCACCAAGGACAGGTCCTGGCTCCACTGCCTGGGGGCCTCCCAAACAGTTCAAGCTAATCAACTGTCTCACTTATCCAGAAAGAAAGTCCCTGGGCATTAGGTTTTGATCAGCTAGTGAGTAAGTGAGTATCCAACTAAGGACAGCTGTTTCCAAAATGACTTTCTGTTCTCCTGTTTCCACTTTTATATAAAACTATATATAGTGTTAATTGACATTATTACCACTTCACCTTCTCATTCTCACATTTGCATATGTATAACATGCATTTACAAAATCACCTGGTCTCCCTGTACTTCTACCTCTCTTGGTTATGACAGTGGTCATTAACCACTGAATATGGCAAGAATTAGGCTCTGAAAGATAACAACCACCAATTCATTCATTCAACAAACAATCCAGCAAAATCCCTAGCTATGTGTAGTCCTTCTGCTAAGCAGGTGATCATGAGGCAGGAAATTACACAGGCTTTCACTACATTCTTAGATGGCTAGTGAGAGATCAAGATGAACTGGCTGGGCATGGCCTGTGGCTGCTGCCAATGCCCCTTCTCTCCAGCCACTGATATTTGTGTGGGAATTTGGGAGTCATTAGAAAGGATATGTGAGGATGAGATAAAGAACTGGTTAGTGAAAGCCTGAGGTTAGAGGCAATTAGCCAGACAGCCATCAAGTTATTGGCATACAAGTCTCACCTCTATCAATAAGACATCTACAGGTTTAAAGAAAATATACATATGCTATCAAGTTTCATAGTCCCTACAGTGTGTGCCTATATTGATTTTAGTAAGTTAAAATTAAATTTTAAAAATTCCAGGTTTAGGCCGTGCGCCCGTAGCCTTCGCGGCCGGGCTGCGCCGGGGATGTAGTGGGGCCGCGGCGGGCAGGACAGAGCGGCGGCCCGGCTCCCGCTCGGCGGACGAATGGTCACTCCCGCGCGGGAGGCACCCACCAGCGACCCCTCTCCCGGGACGGCGGCGGGGCTCACCTGTCGCGCCCGCCCTCTGCCCGGCTGGTCTCCCCGGCGGCGGCGGCGCCGCGGAATTGCTCAGGGCCATGACCGGATATAATTGGTGATTACAGCTGCCTTCTATAAGTTAATTCTCGTCAACTCCTTGCAATTTTAAAAGAAAATGCCTGGTGTCATACCTAGTGAAAGTAATGGGCTTTCAAGAGGTAGTCCATCGAAGAAGAACAGACTTTCTTTGAAGTTTTTTCAGAAAAAGGAAACTAAAAGAGCTTTAGATTTCACCGATTCTCAAGAAAATGAAGAAAAAGCTTCTGAATATAGAGGATCTGAGATTGACCAAGTTGTTCCTGCGGCACAATTCTCACCAATAAACTGTGAGAAGAGAGAAAACCTGTTACCATTTGTGGGACTGAATAATCTTGGCAACACTTGCTATCTGAATAGTATTCTTCAGGTGTTATACTTTTGTCCTGGCTTTAAGTCTGGAGTGAAGCACTTATTTAATATTATTTCAAGGAAGAAAGAAGCTCTGAAGGATGACTCTAATCAGAAAGATAAGGGAAGCTGCAAAGAAGATCCTTTGGCAAGTTATGAGCTTATATGCAGTTTACAGTCCTTAATAATTTCAGTTGAACAGCTTCAGGCTAGTTTTCTCTTAAATCCAGAGAAATATACAGATGAACTTGCTACACAGCCAAGGCAACTGCTTAACACACTCAGGGAACTCAACCCTATGTATGAAGGATATCTACAGCATGATGCACAGGAAGTGCTACAGTGTATTCTGGGAAACATTCAAGAAACATGTCAACTCCTAAAAAAAGAAGAAGTGAAAAACTTGGCTGAATTATCTACTAAGGTAGAAGAAAAATCTCATCAGAAAGAGGAGATGAGTGGAGTCAACAACACGGAGATGGACAGTATGAGGAATTTGGAGGACTTTAAAGAAAAACTCCCAAAAGGAAACTGGAAAAGAAAAAGTGACAGTGAGTCTGGTAACCTGAAGAAAAAAAGTTAAATTGTCCAAGGAACCCCAGTCATTGGAAGAGAACCAGAGACAAACTAGATCAAAAAGAAAAGCTACAGGTGACACAGTTGAGATTTCTAAAACCACCCCCAAGTGTGTTTCTGAAAATGAGAGTGCAAGACCCTCTCAAAAGAAATCAAAAGTTAAAATCAATTGGCTAGAGTCTACAACTAAGCAGCCCAGCATTCTTTCTAAGTTCTGTAGTCTGGGGAAAATAACAACAAACCAGCGATCCAAAGGACAACCTAAAGAGAACGAGTATGACCTGGAAGAGGACTTAGGGAAGAACGAAAGTGAGAACACAGCCAATGGTGGTATTCTCGAATCTCCAGGAAGCAGTGTTAAACCTGTGCACGTTAGTGAAGTTAAGCCCATAAACAAAGGTGCAGAACAAGTTGGTTTTGAACTCGTAGAGAAATTATTTCAAGGTCAG